AGAATACGTTCTCAAATCAAAAACCAAGCTAAGTAATATTGTATAAATTTCCTGAGTTGCTATTATTTTCATTAATCACGATTTTCCTTCTTTTCATTCCTAATAACAATTTTCATATGAAACATGTTATTGAATGCTTTTAAATAATTTGAAAGACTTTTAAATCGACTCATTAGTGATATGTCTCAACATACACGAGTCGTAGCAGATGACTATAAATGTTTTTTCGATCGTTGCAGAAAGTATAAGTGAAAATTATTTTGTGCATGTATATATCTACTTAGATGTACCTAAAAAATGACTTGGATCTCCATACTTTATACAATCAAAAAGATTTTAATTGTTACCGCAGACCGTTTTCGACTATGATACGTATAACTATGATATCAAAACCGAAAAAAAAATTTTTTCCGCAAAAGTGGTAGAAACCCCACGGATTCACCCTATTATGTCTCTGAACGTACTTTGAAAAATACATTTAGTAATCCTGTGTTATTGTTGGCACAACTAGGCGTCGCTATTACTATTGGCTTTTTGATAGGACTTGTATTTTTGGATTTGAAAAGAACTATTGATCCAGGTGTACAAGATCGTTTAGGTGCTATATTTATGATTGTTGCAACACAAATGTTTAGTACAATGACAGAATTGGAAACATTAATTAAAGAACGTGCCTTATTTGTACATGTAAGTTTTTTCATTTCAGTTGATGATACAAAAACCAAACAAAAAAAAGAAATATTTATTCGATAGGAACACAGCAGTGGCTACTATCGAACATCAACATTCTTCTTAACTAAAGTCTTATGGGATATATTACTAGTGAGAAGTTTGGTCTCAATTATATTTTCAATGATTGTTTACTTTATGACGGGTTTAGACCGAAATGTTAATAAATTCTTTATTTTTCTTCTTACAGTTTTTTTCTCAAGTCTTTTTGGATCAACAGTATGTCTTTTTGTAGCTGCTACAGCAAGTCATTATGGTAAGTTTTCTTTTTCTTTTTCTTTTTATGTTTCTGATAAAGAAGATTAGAGAAAAAACTTCAAAAAGTAATGCTATAAACAATTAAGAATTTAGTAATGTAAGATATAACATATTGATGGCATTATCTATTTCTTTTTTAGGTGTTGCCTTGATTCTTGTTATACTTATCTATTTGGTAATGATGGTCTTTAGCGGGTTTATAATTGCATTGAAAAGTATGTTCGATTGGTTGTCATGGATTCATTGGCTCAGTGCTTTTCGATATGCATCCAATATGCTAGCAATGAGTGAATTTCGAAATCTTACATTTTGTTTGGCCAATGATACACATATTTGTCCATTGACAGGATTAGAAGTTTTGCATGAAAAAGATATGAATTTTACGACCAAATGGGATTTATGGAAAAACTATGTGGTTTTGTTAATTATGACTGTTGTATTTCTGATTTTAACTCATGCTCAACTTCTAAGAATTAAAAAGACCAATTAACAGTATATTTAAGACAAAAAACATTGAACAGAAATGTTTTTCGCTATTTTAAATAAACTTTCTTCGATAAAAATCGATATTTTTTTCAAACAAACTTTGAAATGATTTTCTTTCAAAGTATGCAAGAACATTAGTTACATGCATCATGTGCTACTGTTCACAAGCATTCTTTTATGAGATTTTGGAATCTACAATTGCAAAACATTTCAAAGCTATGTGAAAGTCGCTGTTTATGGAGAACGTTGATCATGAGGGAAGTGTCTGATGAATTTTGACAAGCAATATATTACATCCTTAGCTTTGTAAATAACGAAATATGGATAGGCAAGTAAGAAAAAGTTCTATTGAAAAATGATAAATATTTATATTTGAAAATTTATGACAGATGAAGAGTGTGAAAGGATAACTCCTTTATTCGTTCACAGAATATTATGTAGAATAAAATCATTCATTAGAGAAGAAAGATGAAAGACTTTTAAGCTAATCAAAGATGAGCACAAGACAGGAGGTCCTGTCCTGCCGCTCGCCAGGACAAAGACAGCGATTATAACAGGACCGAACAGGACAGAAAAATTTCTCGTGTGAACTTTTATGTCTTGTATTTGAATATAGTAAACAACAAATTAGGTCTAACATAAATAATAGTACTTAGCGTGTACCAAAAGTTTGTATCCCGAGATTACTTAGGCATATAGTAAGCTTAAGAAACTTTCTTTCTCTATGGTCTGATAGAGAAAAAAAATGCTCTATTTTCCTATGCTATTTGATCATAATTCAACTAATATTATGATAATAAATTTTCGATAGGACTTTTTTCGTGATCATTTGTGCTCATAGTACTAGATTACAACAGATGAAGCAGGTTAGTTTTCAATCCCTCAATCTATTGTATTAATAACTAAACTATACCATAAGATGCAGCGTGAAAAGCTTTACAACTTACATAAAATCACTTCCTTTATAGTTGCACTTTTTGTTTTCCAAATAAACAAAGTTTTCAGGTGCCAAATTTTAGGCATTGCAAAAATTGGTCGCGCAGAATTTTCCTTCTTTTGAAAACAATTACAATAAGCTTTACTATGAAGATTGTAGAACTTTTCGTGCTGCATCTTGTGGTGTATTTTGTTTTCTTTTGATAAAGCATATCAGGTAACGAAACGATGAGATAACAAAAAATGAAGTCCTGTATCAAAAAAATTATCAATTTTGCATAGTTACAGTTTGATTGCCCAAAATTTTGTCCATTTTGAAAACGAAAAGTGTAACTATAAAATAAGCAGTCTAATGTAAATTGTAGAGCTTTTCACACTGCATCTTATGGTATATTTTAGTTGTTAATACAATGTATGAAGGGATTGGATACTGCAACGCAAATCTTACCCGAGCACAAATGATAACGAAAAAAGTCTTATCAAAAATTTATTATCATAATATTAGTTGAACTATGATCAAATAGCATAGGAACATAGAGCATTCGTTTCTCCATCAGATTATATAGAAAGAAAGTTTCTTGAAGCTTACTATATGGCTAAGTAACCTCGGGATACGAATTTTTGGTACGTCCTAAGTAATATTTGCTTTGATCAACGATAGTCAGATTAAGAACTCTCGTGATCGACTCTCTGTCGCTCGAAAAAAATGGAATGAATTAGAAAAACAAACTGGACAAAGTTGTCATATACTATCCTATCACTTGTCAGGACACAAAAAGTCAGCAGGACACGACGCGATTTTGATTTTTGTCCTGTCCTGTCGCCCGCCAGGACAGAGCTGGCTAGCAGGACAGGACGAAAAATCTTGTTCTGTGCTCATCTCTGAAGCTAATATGCTTTCAATATGTACAATAAAAGTTTGATGCTTTTAAGGCCTTCCCTCCTCAATAAAAGTCAATTTTCGTCAAAAATTTCGAAATTGAGATATATGCATGGAAAGATAGCCCGTCTTCAGATATTTCAAAAACAATATTGGTTTTCCTTTGGCATCTCTTTTTTGGCCAAGATTTTCGACGATTTTTAGTGACCTCTTCTTGAAAAATATGCTTATTTTTAAAAAAACGAAAAATGTTTTTCGTTTTTTCTCGATTTATGATTTTTTGATTTTGGGACAAGGAATTCTTAGTCCCGGCTCGGGCAATATATTTAAATTTTTTTTTTGTTTGAAAGAGCGCGTCGAGATGCAGGTCACCACAGAGTCTTTTTTTAATTAAGCTTTGTTTTTTATTATATATACAGACACTTCTGTGACTGGACACCCATTTTTGGCGCGTTTTTTGAGTCATTGGACTTGTGATCTCCTTTCTCCGCTAAAAAAGTAAGAATCTTTAAAAAAGAACTCTGTAGTGCTCTGCATCCTGACATACTCTTTCTAACAAAAAAAAAATTTAAATATGTTGGACGGATCTGGACTGAGAAATCCTTGTACTAAAATGACCTATTTTTGACCCTTGTTTGGTGAATATTTCCGTCAAACGTTGTGGTATCGAGCTGAAAATTTTACTACAGCCTCCCCACATCAGTCCCAACATATGCTCCAAATTTCAGCTCATTTGAACGTACCTGGACTGAGATCGATTTTCGAGTGGGGGAGGCCTTAAAAGCTAAATATAATATAATCATTAACTGTACATAATTGTTTCAGTCGGACTTACATGAAGAGTACAGTTAAGTGTTTCATCAACGGTCATTGTAGTAACGGAATTATTATATTCACGGCGGTACTTACGTGCGGATAAAATTGTAACCAATTGGCATTTAGCAAAGAATTCATAACCATCCTCGACGACTTGCGCAACGTATTATCTTTGAAAGACGATTCTTCCTTAGTGTGATACTATTAAGGTTTACAATTGAATCTTTCGGATCCCCTGGTAGACTCGCATTGATATGTGAAGATATTAATTCGGATTTCAGAAACATTTCAAATTCTGAAGTCATACAAATCACTAAGCTTTTGTTATGTGATGTTTTTGATCGATATAAGAGATTGTGTCTAATAGAAGTCAGCTTAAGAATGCTCTATCATGTCTCATGTCTCAATCCAATAGTGATTCAACTGAAAATTTCTTTGTAATAAGGTATAGAAAAGTGAATCGACTGATCTGATGAGCACGACAAATAAGATCTAAATCATTGCTTTTCAAGAACTTTCATACGACATCGACGGTGTGGGTGTTCCATCCTCTTTTCGAGATCCACACCCACACCCACACCTACACCCACACCTACACCCACACCTACACCCACACCCACACACCCACACCTACACCCACACCTACACCCACACTCACACCCACACCCACACCCTCCAATCCTACCATAAGAGTCAGTTATTAATGAGGAGCCAAATAGCCTATTATAAGTGCATACTTCATTGAGATTTAATCGAGATATTTCACAAAAGGGTGCGGATGTAGGTGTGAATGCCCTCTAAATAGACGCGCACACCCACAACCACACCCACCCACACCCACCCCACACACCCACCTAAAATGGCTATGGTTCCAGTAAAAACGAGTTTTCTCAACACAGAAAGGGAAAGAAAAAGAAGGCGATGCGTAACTTTTTTACTGGCGATGTGATGAGTGGAAAGTGATAAAATATTTGGCTTTATCACTCACGTAGAAAAACTATTGTCTGTTTAAAAATAAAACGGTTTCCGCTATTTTTCGAATACCTTGAGAATGGAAGCAGCTAGCGAGCTGTGGTTTTCACCAGTCGAAAGAGACGACACTAGGATATCTTTTTCTTCAATATCGTATAAGACAGAATCATTTTAAAATGAAACATTTTTACAAAACATCAAGAAAACGCACAAAAATTATCTGTCGTTTATAAGAAATTTTGACAAAAACTAAGAAAATTTGCTTAAAAATTAAGAAAAATTCATACTTTTCGCGGGAGTAAATAAAGAATTTGATTTACTTAACATTATCATGCGTGAAGATGATCATTCAGATTATGACTTAAATTATAGATTGGAGGTTCCTCTATCCAGATCACAATATCAAAACCAAAATTGATCAGAACGGAAGACCGTTTTCATGACTTTTTGCAATGTTTTGCAGAAATGAGTGGTTTCAAAATGATTTCGTCTTATACAATATTGGAGAAAAAGATGTCCTGGTGTCGTCTCTTTCGGCTGGTGAAAACCGCAACTCGCTAGCTGCTTTCGTTCTCAAGTTATTCGAAAAATGGTGGAGACCATTTTATTTTTAAACAGGCAATAGATAGGTTTACAAAATCGGTCTATACGAAGTGTACTCGTCGTGATCCGAAACGCTACTGCCAATAGAGTTTTGGGCCTATAGTCGATTTAACAATCTTTTTATACTCAGTTTTTGATGCTGAATCTGAAAAAAATTATTTTCAGAAGCTGAAAACAAGAAGAACATGGAAAATTTTGCACATTTTGAGAAAGTTTTGTTTTTTGAAAAAATCAGCATCCTTCGAGTATTCCGTATTTTTCGACTGGAAGGAAGAATTTACTAAGGCTAAAAAGTACATATTCGTGATCAGCAGCTCAAAGTCTGTCAAATGATGTAAAAAGAACGCGAAAAAATTGACTTGGTTTTTGCTTTGCCTGCACCTTTCCGTGCAGTCGAGAAAGAGGGTACATGCAGTTATTGTTTGTAAACAATTAAGTTTTCTCTTGAAGTTTGAAGCATTTGTTTAGCTTTATCCGGCATTGTATAGCCAGTCGTAAGAAAGAGCAGTGTCTTGTTTCCGAGCAATGTTGCAGCAAACAATTCGAATCCAGCCTCATTTATGCGGTTATTATCAGAGATATCAAGCTCGGTTAGTGTCCAATTTTTTAACAAACTCTCAGCAATCGCTTGTGCACCATCATTACTAATGCAATTATTACGAATGTTCAGATAAGTAAGAGTTTTATGGGTTCGAAGCATAGTAGCTAACGCTTGAGCACCTTCGTCGCCTATCATTTCGTGGTTATTTGAAAGATTAAGACGACTAAGTGTTCGATTCGTAGATAAAACGCTGCCGAATAGGATGGTACACGCATCAGTCATTCGACATTCAGACATCGTTAGTTCTCTAAGAGTACAATCTTCTGACAAATACTTGCTTAAGTAGTCGATTCCAGCTGAAGTGCATGTTATTGCACAAAGCGAAATATGGATGAGCGATGTATTCATGCGCAATGCATTCGTCAGTTGCTCCAGATGAGAATCTCCAAAGTTATTGTCACCCAATTGAATGCTGGCCAGCGTCCGATTTGTCTTCAGACTTTGGGCTATTAATCTGATATCTTGCTCATTCAGTCGGATTGCCGAAATGTTCAGATCGATTAGGGTTCTATTAGTATCTAACATGTTCGCAATCACGCGCCCTACTTTGGCTTCAGATCTATTGTTTTCTTCGTTGTTGCATGTGTAAGTCGCGATATTAAACTGAAGAATAGTTTCATTTACAGAAAGTGCCTCGATTATCGTTTGAATGCCATTGAATGACAGTTTGTTATGCGCAAGTGAAAGTCGAATAAGTCGACATGTTTTAATGATCTCACAGAGGATGGAACTGCTCTTATCTGTTACTTTGTTGAAATCAAGGCAAAGGTCCTTTAATATGTATTGAGTTCGCTTGCAGAGACCACTGCTGACTATTGCCATACACTCATCATCCAAATGCGACCATGAAAGATCAACATGTGTCAATGTTCGACTCGTACAAAGTAGCATACTCAGCTCAGCCACAATTGTTTTAGAGAATTCGAAATTTCTTCGTCCAAATTCGACTTTTCTCAAGATCGGACTATTTTTTAAGGCGATTAACAAATGTTTCATCGCCTCTTCAGACATTATTAATTTCGCTAGACGAAGTGAAATTAGGCATTTAATCGAGTGTAACCATTCGATCAATGAAGTAACGTTGATTTCGTCTTTGAAACTTCTTGACTGATACTTTACGTGGTTTAGTCGATCACTTGTGTTGTAGTCCAATGGCCAAGAGCTGTTAATATAGATCTTCTTAGGTGGTCTTTGCCAAAGAGTATCGATCAACACTTGACTCAAGTCGAATGGAAAACGGACATCGACTAAAGACACTGCGTAATACCTTAATCCATTGTTCAAACATCGAATCAAATCGGTTATTTTGCGAGAATTTACGTATAAAAGTCCTAATTGCTTGTCGAATTCGATACCATTCTCGTAGAGTTGCCTTATCAGATTTAACTGTTCTTTTGGATAATGTTTGTTACATAACCAACGAACAGAGTCATCGTTATTTACAAATCGATACAAATCAGGAAAAACTCTCTGATTGGATAGAGTCATATAAGTTAATAATTTCGCAGTGTTAACTTCGCCACAGTTTTCTTCTATTAAAACATTCAAGACTCTTTCCATTTTTTCCAAGCCTTTTTGGTAGTCTTCACACAATATATTGTCACAGTTTTCGTAATTTTGTCTTTGAAGAATATGTTTGGCGACTGGTACCATGTATTCGTTCAAATATTTTTGGTAGTTCTTAAAGAAAACACAAGGATTCGGTATAGAATAACCTGGATAAGTGGAAAAATGGATTTGGTCGCTCGAACATTCACAGATGACGTGCAAAAGATATTTATTCTTCCATGGATTCCCATCATTCCATTCGTATGCAGGATCTGGAAGAACGATAAATAGTTTCGGTATATCATCATTATTTTCATTTGCTTTATACACATTTTCAAGTGTTCGATCTATTGATATATTAATAGAGTTTTCATCAATCGTGTTTTCGAAAAAGTGAGGATTTGCTTCTGCACAAGGTACTGATTCGTTCCTATATGTTTCATCTATCATCGGCGTCTCATTTTCCCGGTTTCTATGATGATCTTCGTCATTTTTTTCATGCAGTTTTTGATAAGTCTTGTCTAGTAATCTTTTTATCTCATCAATTCCATGGCTACAGCTTTCAATGATGATACGTCGTGTTTGTGCAATGAATAGTACCGGTTCTTGATAACTTTTCATTTCTGTCTCGATGATGTTCAAACGTTCTTGGATCGATATGGGCAGAGAAAACAATGCATGTAGTCGTTGCTCTTCATCTTCAAACTCAGAGGACAATGATATATCATGTCTAGTTACTTCATGTCTTGCACGGCGTATCATAGCATCATAATGAATTCTCACGAGATCTGTATGATGTTGTCGCATCTTTTCATCCATCCTTAGTATTTCTTCCATTTGTGCTTCTTCTAGATGTTTCTGTGCTTCGCAGATCACACCGTTTTCACGCTGCAATAGATCACATTTGAATCTTGTCCATGATTCTTTCTCGATTATGGCAGTAAATCGATTCGTCAAGTACTGTTCGATGAGTTTATTAGGATTCGGCAGCTTATCACGATTTATGACCTTGATAAGTTCGCCCATGAAGTCAGCAAGTTCAGCTGGTTGCATGAACAAATTTTCAGCATTGCCTTCAAATAATCGCTTCCCGCCACTTGTTAGAAGAGCTCTGATTGCAGTATTGATCGATTTAAAATATTCTTCTGACTCTTCCTTCTGGAGTAATGTATATACGTCAAGTAATTGATCGTTTTTCATCAACGACCCTGGTAAATAATCAATATTGATTGTGTCTATTTGTGGTAACATACGAGTGATATATTCATATTGTTCTTTCAGTCTTTGATTGTGAGCACTTGATAAATTGTTGCGCTCGTCATTAACACTGAATATTTTATGAAGCCATTCTTCTTTCGAAATTTCGATATCATCACCAGTGTCAGGATCAATATGTAAAAACTTGGGTAGATCTAATGGTAATAACCACACGTTTGGTAATACATGAAATGATTTCATGAATTCGAATCGACGTAATGCAAGATAGAGACGATCACATTGAAACCGATCTATACGAGCAGGACGAAGAACGACAACAAATGCTGTACTTATAATCATGCAGAAAAAATACAAATTAGCAGCTGTGTTCTCATCTAAATTATCCATTCCTTCACAGTCGAGAACTAGAATTGAACCTTTTGTTTGCTCATCTTGATCAGGATGTCGAAGTGGCTCGCACCACATCCAAACACCTTGTGTTACTGCATTGGTACCGGCGCCACTTCGAAACCAGAGTAAATCTGTACCGTGCGGCTCTTTTTCTAAAGCTGCTACAGTAACTGTTGCCAATTTACTTTTACCAACACCCATGTTACCTGCATAGACAATAATAGAAATGGGTGCTTCAAAACGATCAGAAATAATCTGTTGTGCCTGTTGATTAATCTCTAACTGAGGCACATATTGAGGATTCTTGCGTTCTTCATCTGTTGGTGGAATACATCGAATTAGTTGAATGCAGCCTTGCTTTTCATGGTTTTGATCACGTTGATGTGCCATCTCGCAGAACCAATATTGACAATTACAAGTAAGAAATGCGATAACCGGTAGATTGTAGAATGTGATGTTTTTCAGAAGTGACTTTGATTGTAAGAGTTGAAACTTACAATGATAGTTATGATTCTGTAAATACAATAAAAGACAATAATCATGATACTACAATACAACGTACAATAACAATGTATAAAAGAGTGTTTGAAAGTGTCACAGGATACAAATCCTTCTATGATATTTTAAAGTAGCTTATATATTCCTGCAAAGAATATACAAAAGGATATCTAGCATGTATCCGCCTGGATGGTGAACGCGTCTCCTCGCTGATATTGTTGTTACGACAGTCAGCATCTAGATATGTGGATGCGAAGTGTGAAGTGTATGTGGGACTGCCGTTGTAGGTATTAGTATTGGTGTGTTCATTTCACCCGCATCTATACTCTCACGCGTACGTCCTCGGACACACGTACTACATACGCACTTTTGCGAACAAACGACAGGTGACTAGCTTAGATGGCATTGGCTTAGGTGCAACATATTTTTCTTACTAACTTCTCTGACACAAAATTCTGTGATACCAAAGTACGAAGGAATTGTTTTAAAATATATTTCCTTTTCCGTTGACCGATATTGCTAGAACCACTCTCTAATACTATTCCGCTCGCCTTTAACCTATTTTTCTTCTCCTTTGAGCTATATCCGTAAAAATAGATCCTCATATAGCTATTTCTCATTTCTCATTTAGTGTATTTTTTATAACTATATTCTGCATCTGAGATATAAAGGCTAAAAGACCATGCATCGCAATTTGTGCGAGACGATATTCATCACATTCTAATTGTGACGCACCTGATGCGATACTTAAACCTATGACACAAAGTACGATGGAATGCTTTTTTAAAGTGCTACTGTGCAAAGTCGCTAGATTCATAAATGCAAATCGAAAATATAGAAAAGGTCTTTAAATCAGAACTATTATGTGTGTGAGTTAATGCGTACAGTTATTGTAAATGTGACTGTGGTTGCAGTTCAAATAAATTTTTGACGCATGAAGCTTTGAATCGCAATTGCTACAACGTGCAAACATAGGATCACATTTGATAATGGTTCGACACGAGTCGCAGACCATCCAATCAGTCTTTCCGCAATAGTAGTACAAATTACCTTTCCTATTCGAAGTACACTTAACATGTAACATATTATATACCCCGCCGCGAGTTCCACAGTTCTTGCAAGGAGGCACGCCAACTCTCCATGGGCATCGGTTAGCTAGCGATTCATTGATTCTTTTTTCGTGTTGGAGATTCTCTTTTTTTACTTTCATAAGAGCCATAGCGTCATTCAATAAATTTTTTACTTCATTTGCCTGAAGGCACATGTCTTTTATAACGAGCTGGTGTTGCACTCTTTCAATTAACGATATTGGTTCATGATAATTACTCATTCTCGTTTCAATATTATCCAAGCGATGTCGAATGAATGTTGGGAGACTGTTAATTGCACGTTGTCGTTGACTATCATCCTGGAACTCGGAGATCAATGCTGAATCCAAGCCAAGAATTTCGTGTCTTGTGTGACAAATGATTTGGTCAATATGTTCTTTGCAAAGGTCTGTACGTTTCTGTTTTACTTCTCCAATTATGGTAGCTATTTGTTCATCACTTGGCGGTTTTTGAAGTCCACTCAATTTTTCACATTGTTTTGTCACATAATTCATTAAATCATGTTCAAATCTGGTCACGTATTCTTTCTCTAATTCAGCCGTAAATCGATTTGTTAAATATTGATTGATTAGTTCATCAGGATTAGGTACTGGATCTCGATTGATGACCTGAATCAGATCATCCATTAATTCAGCAAATTCAGAAGGGCGAACAAACATATTCTGGGCAATGCTTCCCAGAAGCCGCTTGCCACCATTTGCTAGAAATTTTTTAATTGCAATGGTAATCGATGTTGCATACAGATCTGATTCTTTACTACGAAGTAACGAGTATGTATCAAGCTTTCGAGAATTACTGTGAAGTGATGGTGGCAAATGGTGAATATTAGCGGCTCTTATTTTCGGTAAGATATCAGTGATATATTTATATCGGTTTTTTAACGCTTGAGTTTCGTCGTTCGATAGGCGGTTATTCTCTTCGTCGACGGTGAATATATTGTTTATCCATTGTTCTTCCGAGATAGGGACATCTTCACTGGTTTTAGGATCACTATAGACAAACTCGGGTAAGTCCAATGGAAGTAACCATAAGTTCGGTAATACATATTGTGCTCGCATCCGTTCGAATCGGTACAATGCCTGATAGAGACGATTACATTGATAACGATCAACACGAGAAGGGCGAAGAATGACAACGAATGCTGTACTTATCAGCATGCAAAACAAGTATAAATTGGCACCTGTGTTCTCGTCTAAATCGCCCATCCCTTCGCAATCGAGAATTAGAATTGAGCCACTCTCGTTTGTTTCTTGTTTAGGATGTTGAAGTGGTTCAGACCACATCCAAACACCTTGCGTTACTCCATTAGCTCCTGCACCACTTCGAAACATTTGTGCAGTTTGATGATGCTGTTCTTTCTCCAATGCAGTGATAGTCATCGTTGCTAACTTACTTTTACCAACGCCCATATTGCCAACGTAAACAATTACTGAAATGGGTGTTTCAAAGCGTTCAGCAATAATCTGTTTCGCTTCTCGATCAATCTCTAACTGTGGTACAAATCGAGGATTCTTTCGTTCTTCATCCGTGGGTGGAATACATCGGATTAATTGGATAGCACGGCCTTCTTGATAATATTGCTGTTCTTGTATGTTTTGACTTGCCATTTCCCACAATTACTGTTAAGAATTTTTAAAGCAAAAAAAAATGGTAATTGTAGTAGAATGTATCGAAAGTGATATTTCTGTAGAGTGGCTTCGGTCTTAAGAGTCGAAAAGTGGAGTAGTAGTTACAGTTTTCTAAATATATTTCAGCACTCATTCTACTGCAAAAAGAATCTTTCTGTTTGCTATATTCGGTTCTAACAGACAATATGTTTTATTTTATAGAATTACTGTGCTCTTAGCAAGCGACAGACATTCATCAACTGCAGAGTGACTTGTATGCAATGTGATAGGGCCTAAGGTAGAATTCTCGAGTCCCTATTCGATCACAATCAACTATCTTCTTTTGTTCCAGAACAACAACCCATACTATTCGGACCGACTACTAATTGAGCTAGTACTTCATGTTAGTGGATGAACCAATACAAGTTGCTCTCTTGCGCCCAGCCACATGATATGGTTATCGAATCCAAACATGCACTACAGATTTAGGTGTGGTTCAGAGCCACAATATTTTACATATAGCATATGCAGTCGTCTGATATGTCTCCCCTATAATTGTGGAGAGCCGTGTGGGGTTTCGCGCGATGTCTTACCTAATAGATACAGAGTGTTTTATAAGTTTTGAGGCGTGACAAAATTAGTTTATTTGCAGACAGAGAATAACTCCTAACCGAATGTAGTTTATATGAGATTTAAGTACTCATGACGACCTTTCAAATGACATAAAACTCAATGACATCTTCTCTTGTAATAATAAAAATACAACTATGAGAACATAATGATAAATTGTTCGAAATCAACCAACAATTCGAGTCTCCTATTATAAGTGATGATAAATAGTTAATGATTTTTTTTCATACTTTTTCTTAACATAGAGGGCTAAAATTTTTATCACATATACATCTAATCACGGTCTTTTATTTATGAAAATTTTAGCCTTCTATGTTAAGAAAAAGTATGAAAAAAAATCATTAACTATTTATCATCACTTATAATAGGAGACTCGAATTGTTGGTTGATTTCGAACAATTTATCATTGTGTTCTTATAGTTGTATTTTTATTATTACAAGAGAAGATGTCATTGAGTTTTATGTCATTTGAAAGGTCGTCACAAGTACTTAAATCTCATATAAACTACATTCGGTTAGGAGTTATTCTTTGTCTGCAGATAAACTAATTTTGTCACGCCTCAAAACTTATGAAATATCCTGTATACACTGAGTGAATATAATTCCTACCTAGCTATGTCAATCGTTAGGGCTTTCTTGGTTTTTCTCTCCGAACAGAATCGAAAGAAACAATGTTGTTCTTACACTTTTTTCCACCACTTTATGCATCAAATAGTGAAAAAGTGTTTTGACTACAACTTGTTATTGGATCAACTTCAGCCGATAATTGTTTCATACTTGACATCAAAGTACTTGGCGTAGCAAACTCACGCAATTTCAGCTGAAATCTCAGGTTATCACTTTGGAATTTTCTCTTGTAAGTAGAAAACAACATCCATCGCTATATTAAAAGATATTTTCTGTAAAACAAAGAAAAATAAAGGTAAACTGAATTCTCTTACTGTACTCTTCTCCATAAAAACTTCAATAGTTATCAATGAAGCAAATCACAAACAGGAAATACAAGTAAACTAATTTAATATCACTCTTCGCATGAAATGCTCATCAAATACCTACCGGATTAAGCTAAACGAATGATTCACTTTCTCTCATAAGATCCAGAAAAATCGTCCTCAAAATTAAGAGAACAAAACAAAACCAACTTATTCGGTTTATTTCAATAGGATACTAAACAACTCTCAGAATAACTAAATGAGAAAAAAAGCAAGATAAATTTTCTAATCAAAGTTCCATTCTAATATGCACAAGGTTGTTTAGGATAATTGCATCATGATAACGAAAATTAAATTAAATTTTCCATTTCTCTCAGAATAAAAACATGAAATACGAACATGGTTATTAGAAGAACAAGACATAAGACTAACGAGGGAATATTCCCAAGTGTCACATCGCTTTTGAGTCGAGCATATGCACACTATGTAGATCCTAATGATCTATGAATTTTCTGAAAAAAGTTCGTGCCGCTAGCTTATTATTGCTGAGATACTGCCTTTTTACTGTATGTTTAAGAAAAAAGAGCTGTGGTCCCCCTCAGGGACACTTGAAAAACTGAATTTCGAATTTCGACTTCAAACTTTGCATAGATATAGGTCTCAATGAGAATAGTTTATTGTGAAATTTTCAGCTCTTTTCGTTGTTTCTATCCTAAAATACAGTCATATTAAAATTGCTTCTATCTACCGACAGATCCGATGTTCTTATCTCAGATTAGGAGCAACCAAAAAATCGAAAACCTTCACAATAAACTATTCTCATCGAGGCCTATATATGTGCAAAGTTTCAGGCGGGAACTCAGAATTCACTTTTCCTGATGTTCCTGAGGGGGACCACGGCTTTTTCCAAACTATATAGTAAAAATGTTGTATCTCAGCAACAAGAGGCTAGCGGCACGAACTCTTTTTAGAGAATTCATAGCTCATTAGGGCCTACATAATGCCCATACGCTCGACTCAAAAGCGATGTGCCACTCGGGAATGTTCCCTCGTAAGTTATTCAATTTTTTTAATAAAATGCGAAATCACTTTCGGAATAACTCAATAATGAAAAAGAAAAATTAAACAAGACTAACCTTTTAGTTTCTTTCTCAGAAAAATGACGAGCAATACTCGGAATAACCAATTGAAAAAAAGAAAACGAGAGCGTTTTTTTTATTCTATTGCTTCTATAAAATCTCTGGCGACTATGGAAACAAGAAAAATAGAAAAGAAGTAAACTAAACCAGCTTCCTCCGTTTTACTGTTAGATTTTTCTCAGAAAAATGACGAGCAATACACGGAATAACCAATAAAAAAAAAGGAAAGTATTTTCTTTTCATTCTATTTCTTCTGTAAAA